GGAATCATGGGAACTGTAGTTTATTGTGCCACCAGAACTCTCTGACAGCAAATGCTCAATGTCTCAGAAAAAAACTACAATTCCCATGATTCTCTAGTGCTGATCCAGGACAGTTAAAGTGGTCTCAAGCTGGATTATTTCTGGCAGTCTGTAAAGGCCCTTAGACTGCCATACTTTGGACACATTGTGAGAAGGCATGAATCATTAGAAAAGACAATAATGTTAGGAAAGGTAGAAGGAAGTAAATAGAGAGGAAGGCCACATGATAGATAGATGGACTTTATTAAAGAGACCACGAATATGAGTTTGCAGGAGCTGGGCAAAGCAGTAGAGAACAGAGGGGCCTGGAGATGTCTCATCAGTAGGGTCGCCATGGGTTGAGATCAATGCGAAGGCAGTTAACAATGGCAAATTGCATGGCTGGAGGTTAGGGTAATCATTTTTAAGTTCATATGTTGAGAATAATGAATTTTAATTTATTAATGCTTTTAGATATCTGTAAACAAAGCACTTAAAATAAATACAGTTGGTCCTTAGTATCTGCAGCGGTTTCATTCTGGAACACATACACACCCCACAGATGCCAAAAACAGTGGGCCCTCAAATCCTGTGATTTTTAATGATGGTGCACAGCTGTGGCCGCATGCACATGCTGCCATTATGGCCAATGAGGCTTGTCATCTGCAGATTCTCAAATTGATGGATGGCAAGCCCATGGTTGGGGTGAGCAGGCTGTATTTAGAAGGCCAATTTCAGGCATTTTTAGTGTTAAAGGATGGGAGTGACAAGCTGGTAGATTATGATTAAATATGGTTAACCAAGATAGTTAGGACAGCATTATCAGAAGATCTATATGGGCTATATCTTACAGTTTGTATTCCTGAAAATAGCTTGAGACCATCATGAGTTTTGACAGATTGCCAAGCAGTTATGTAATGGAATGAATCAGATGTTAGTCTCCACTTCCTGCAGCCATCAGGAAGAGGGAAATCCATTAAATACATGTTTGTTTTGATAAGACAAGTCACAAAATGAGAATGGAGACCCAGTGGAACACATAGCTGCCAGATTACATTTCATTTAGTCAGTCATGAGACAAATATGGATTAAAAGGTACAAATTTACTAAACCATAATGGAATTACACTTGATATATCTTTCTTCATATAATTATTTGTTGTTGTTGTTTGCCTTCAAGTAATTTCTGACTTATGGCAACCCTAAAGGCAAACTGATCATCGGGTTTCCTTGGCAAGATTTTTTTTCAGAGGTTTGCCTTGCCTACCTTTGAGGTTGAGAGTATGTGATTTGCCCAAGATCACTCAGTGGGTTTCACAGCCAAACAAGGACTCGAACCCTGGTCTCCAGAGTCATAACCCAACACTCAAACCACTAGGTCATGCTGGTGCTCTACTCCCAATCATTATGGAATTACATTTGATATATCTTTTCTGTATTCTGTATATATACACTGTATTCTGTCTCACCAGTGCCAAAACTTTCTTCTCCACACAGTGAACATCGACCAGAATCCATGAGATTTGAGAAGTACCTCCAGCCTGCTGGTGTTTCATACACAGGAACTTTCATGGATTTTGCCACTCTAAAAGAGATAATAATCACGTAACACCACATTAATAAAATGGTTCAGTGATTTAAATATATGGATGCACGTTTATCCATCAAAGTGATGGATTTAGTTTACACATACATGTGTGTGTACACCATTCCTTGTTATACAGTTTTGTCAATGAATGAGAAATAAAATTGTTACCAAAATTTGGACTGTCAGTTACTTGATTACGGCTGTACTATAACCATAAGCAGCCCCACAGAATTTCAAAGTTTTATCTTCAAAATTATATTTTCTTTTCAGCTATTGACCTCAGAAGTATATAACCCTAACTCTCTTTGGTTTAATACAGTCAAAATGTAGCAAAAATGGATGAATTGAGGGCAATGAGGGTGATCCCCCTGCCCGCGGATCCTGCAAGGGGCCAGTGTAGCCCCCTAGCACCTGGCAGTAATTCACCTTGGTCTATATAAACTGGCTGTGTTTGGACAGCATTTGAGGTTTCATGGGGTTGCCACATGTTTCCAGGCAACTTGAAAGTGCGCGCGCACACCCACTCACCCACCCCCACACATATACAAGGCTTCTTATATTATAATTTATGAATCTGTGGATAAATGTAGTAACTGTATACTTTTCCCTTGGTGTTTCTTCCTCTTCTGGTGTACTAATTTCATTGTGAAAATCTTACACTCAGCCATAGTTCCCTGATTTGGATATAACAGGGAACTCTGGTTAAACACAACTAGATAGGCTTTGTATTATTGTCCAGTCATGGCCAGAAATAATCCTGGATACTGGTCTGTTAAAGGCTTCATAGTAAACAGAACTTATTTTGCATCTGTTTAAATGCACATATTTCTGTAACAGAGTATAAACAGGAAATTATGTTCACAGAAATTTCAAGCAGCAGCAGCGTCTAAAGCAGGGGTAGGCAACCTAAGGCCCGGGGGCCGGATGCGGCCCAGCAAGGCCTTTGGACCGGCCCCAAACCGGTCCTGCCGCCGCCGCCCCCCCCCACCACTGCTGCCCCCCCCCATGATGATATTGATTATTGTTGTTATTACTTGTTCTTGGGGTTTTCTTGGCAAAATCTTCACAGGGGTTTTGCCATGGCTTTTCTGGGGCTGAGAGAGTGTGCATGCATTTTTTAAAAAAATTTAATTCTTTTTTTAATTTTTATTTTTATTTATTTATTTATTTGTTTGTTTGTTTTTGGTGCTTCGGCCCGTCAATTGTCTGAGGGACAGCAACCCGGCCCCCGGCTCAAAAAGGTTGCCTACCCCTGGTCTAAAGGATAGATCAAGGTTCCATTTATATCATACTACATCCACTGGTGTTAGCTCAGTTGGTTAAAATATAACCTAAAAGAAAGAAGTTATGGTATATGCAGTACTTTCTTTATAAGAGGTAAATCTAGGAATGTCTTTAAGTCCCACTCATTACACTTGGAAAAAGCTAATCACATATTATTCTTTAAATCTCTCCTGAAAATAAACTGTAATTTGATTGTGACCTGTTAATTTGCTTCTCATTTTTCTCTGGATTTCCTTTCCTGCTATACCGTTATCTGAATTTTTACAAAAAGAGCTAAATATACTGTAAAAGATTAAGATCTTAAGTGTTAGCTAGTCATTGTAAAAGTCTCAGCATCCACCCCCACCCCCAAAGATACATGCACAGGCAGTCTTCCTGAGATAACTGTGGGAGGCCACACTGGATCAAGGCATTTCATCCAAATTTCATCCAAAGTTGATCTTTTCTGGACTATGAAAAAGGGTTTTAAAAATACTAACTGAAGATGTATTTACAGTACAGCTCTCTTGGCTTTCCTGTCTTCCAGGTGTCAGCTGCACATTTAAAATTGCTGATGTCAACATGGGAGAATACTGCCAGGAACATTTGCAAAACATACATCATTTCACTGTTACATATTTCACTCCCAGGGGTCCTTGGAAATGGAAGACACCCTATACAATAAGCTAAGTGGTTTGTGGTAACAAACAGCCAAAACAAGATGAGCAATATAGGTCAATAATCTAAATTTCAGTTACAGAAGCTGTTCACATACACTGTAGGAATACTGGCATGAAAAAAGGTACCGTACTTTGAACGAAATAACAAAACAATTAATAAGGAAAGTAAAGACAAACATTTAATCCAGGTGGTCATACTTCAGCCATATCACAAGAAGGCATTACTTACTAGAAAAAACACTGATGCTTGGAAAGGTAGAGGGCAGCAGGAAGAGAGGAAGTCCACATACCAGATGGATGGACAAAACCAAGGAGGACATGGCACTTAGTCTGCAAAACCTAAGGGAGTTTTTGAGGTGCCTCATTCACAGGGTCGTCATGCTCCTCTGCTGACTTGAAGCCAGTTAACAACCTAAGAATTTACAGTGCTCCTTTTAAGATTTACTAGCCTTCTGCCTCAAATGAAAATATTCTAGAAACATTCTACTGAAACCAGACACAGGATATTACTAGATTACTAATGTAAGGCAGGTTTGGAAATTTGCTTTCCCCTTGATAGAGACATTCTCTTAGAGAGGGGTCACATGCTGCCAGTGGGTGGTTCAACAGTAGCAGTGTGTGGGGCCATTCGTCCATCTCTCTCAAGACTACTACGATTCACCTAATTCCCCTCTCTTTTTCTTTGTTAAAAATTCTAAAAAGAGAAACCAATGTGAGTTAGGGGTTGTTCACAGTCAGGACAATGTGGACTGATGATGATTACTATCACAACACAGGACTAGTTTTTTCCCCAAAACATTCTTAGAGGCCACCCCATATTTGCCTTGTTACATCCTATCTACATGTTAGCCACTCCTGATGTATGGATATGGAAGGAACCAACATTAGGCAAGGGCCTAAAGCAGGGGTCGGCAACTTTTTTTGCCGGCGGGCCGGGAGGGGTGCAGGGGTCCCCCAGGAGAGCTCCCTCGACCGCGCCGGGCCTCCGAGAGGCCCAGAGCGGCCTCGCCCCTCCCCCCCAGAAGGGCTCCCTCAACCGTGCCAGACCTAGACAGTACAGGTTTGTTAGTAATGGAAATAATGCCAAAGCTATCCTGTAGTGAAAGAAGTTCACTACTGCAAGTGGACAAGGAATATTAGGCAAATAACGCAACAAAAAGGAAGGAATACAGACCATCTGTGCCCAGCAATGAGATGGTTGGGCAACAGCAGCAAA